TAAGAGGAATTCTATTACAACAAAATAAAAACCTGAAAAGTGGAATATTAAAACATTATAGTAAAGTGATACGTGAAGATTGGGATTGATTGGTGGCTTTGAAAAGGAGTTTGAAAAGAAGTAAATCAAATAAAACTTGGAAATAAAGACTTATAGACATTGACTACTAAAATTAAATATAAAAGATGCTGGTTGAAATAAATTACTGGACAATCGGATTGGATACAAATACTAAAGAAGGAAAAGAAGAAGTGCACAAAATGAATGGAATATATATGGAAATAAGTTTGGGGAGGGTGGAGCTGGCATCGCGACGATACGGCATGCGATCTTGGAGGTCTGAGATCGCTGCCAATATCTTTGCTCCTGGATGGTCCTATCAGATCTAAACCGTCCTGAAGAGAAGGTGAAAGTGAAGAGCGCATCCTGTCGATCCCAGGGATACCACAAAGTCCCTGGTAGATCCAGGAGAAGCTCTTCTTGCCAGCGGCAAAGAGGCAGCCATTAAAGCTGCTGAAGTTGGGACAGCTCCGAAACAAAGAACAGAAAGAGAGAGTGTGCCGGTTTGGTGAGAACTTTTTTCTTTATTCTAAGATCTGAAAGGACACCCTAAGGAAAAGAAAGAATCTGTAAAAGTTTTTGACAGAAGTGATTAAGCAGCGATTTTAAACAGGAATGTCAAAGTAATGTTTTTTTTCTCATTGCTGGATTTTCTATACATGATCTTATATTTTGAAACTGGACTGGTTTTTTCTTTTCCATCTATTTTTTTCTCCTTTTTGATTTTGTAACATTTTAGGCTAGAGACTCCCTTTTAGTTATTTCTTTTTAAAAAATATCTTTTTCTTTTCTTTTATTAATTCTTATTATATTTTGCTTGGAAAAGGAGGGGGAAGTGAAAGCAAAGAAACTTTGTAACACTGCCAACTGGAAGCTTGGAAATATTCTATTTCTCTTGTGACCAGACAAAGCTGAGAAAGAAAGAACTGAGACTTTTTTTCAAGGACATTGCTTTTTGATAAGATAGATGGAAGAGCATGGGAGAGTATTATTGCAGGTGCTCTTCTGGGTTTCTATCAACAGCTAGAGTCTGGTGTTGAAGTTTATAGGAAAAGAAAAGGTGATAAGTTTCTGGAGAAGAGTGTTATAACAAGAGCCTTGGATAACTAAACAAAGTGCAGTGTGTTCTCTTGATTTTTCCTAAGATGTGCTACCCCTCCTCAACAGTTTACTTTTTGAAATAGCTATTTGGATTTTTAGTTCTTTGGAACTTGTCTTTGCTTTTTTTTTTGTCTTTGGAAGTTAAATTTTTACGTTTGCTTTTTATTTTAAAAGAAAGGTTTTAGTATTAATGATTCCCTTCCTTTTCTTTTTAAGGGAGTAGCCTTTTTTTCTTTTTCTCTTTCTGCCTTTCTGGTACTTTTGTTTTTCCATCTACCTCCAATACTGGTTTTTTCTTTCTTTTTATCTTCCTGGCTTTTTTTTCTCTCTCTTATGCAGCCTTTTATATTTGAGACCTTTTAATTGGATTAAGGTGTTGAAGAACCTGAAGAATTTTTCCTTTTTTTTTTTAGCTTTTTATTCCTCACTTTTCCATCTTTTTTAGGATTTTACAACTTTTTCTCTTTTGTGTATGTTTATGGTTTTTTCCTTCAATTTTGAATTTTCATTGTTATCTACCGTGTTTCTCACATAATAAGGCCGGGCCTTATTTTTTTTTTGACCCCCGAAAAAACGGCTAGGATGTCTTTTCGGGGGGTGACTTAATTCTCCCCCCTTGCATCCTCGGGTGGGTGGGCGGGCGGCGACAGCTTGGATATTCGGGAGACCTTCGGGTTCGGGCCACCGTTGCTTTCCCTTCTCCCTTGCTGCCGCGGCGTTTGGCGCAGCCACGTGCGGCCAGTCAGGGCTCCTCCCTGCAACCGGAGCCCTGAGGAGACACTTGGCTTCAGGCGCTCCCGTCTTCCCTTTGCTTTCGAAGGTAAAGCGAATTATTTTACAAAGCCTCCCCTGCCCGAGAGGGCAGCCCAACTCCACGTGGGGAGGCTAATCTCCCGAGGCCTCTTCCGTTCCTCCCCGACCTCCCTACGCTGCGCGCCTCTGACGCGCCGCTCCCTTCAGCCCAGCGAGCTCTTCCACCTCAAAGAAAGGCCAGGCGGGCAGCTGCGGAGCAGCAGCAGCGGGTCTGAGCCGCTCGCAGCGGAAACAACCACCACCCGTAGCCCGACGCGGGGAGAACGAGCGAGGTTAGCGCCCGCCAGCCCGGGCGAGATTTGGGAACGAGGGGCAGGAGGCACACACACACCCGCGGCTCACTTTCCCAGCTTTGCCCAGCCCTTACGGCTCTGGCGCGGCCCTGGCAGGATGAGCGGAGGGTCCGGCGGGGAGGCTCTCGCTGCGAAATTGAGTTATACTGATGACGATGGAAGAATACTAATGGTGGAAATAATGGATAATAATAACTCCTGATTGCAATCTATGCCCCAAATGACAAACAAGAAGAATTTTATAAAAAATTACATATGAAAATAATTGAACTGGACTATGCTAATATAGTTATGATGGGAGATTTTAATGGAATTGTAGACAACAAACTGGACTATACAGCACAGAAAACAATAAAGCAAAACAGAAAGACTCTCCCTAAATCTTTTGTTAAAATGGTAGATGAAATAAACTTAAAAGATACATGGAGAGAAAGAAATGCTAAAACAATACACCTTCTACTCAAATAGACACTTATCATGGTCCAGAATCGATATGATATGGATGTTAACAGAATTGTTAACTAACATTCAAGAAATAAATATTGAAACAAGTACTTGGGCAGATCACAATCCAATGACAATTAAATAGAAAGGACAAAGAAGAAGATCTAGATGGACGTTAAATAATACTATTTTAAAGGAAAAAGATAAGCCTTGGGTTTATTGTATGTTTTTTTTAATATATTCTGAAGTACTTCGTTTTTATATTTTGAATCAATAAATGTTTTATAGAACTGATTCTGCTTTAAACTTTCCTAATTGGCTTATCCCCTAAATGGTGCATTTTTCAACAGCTCCCATATTCATGTGCTGTCCCACAGACCTTCATTAACGCAAATTCTAATTGCAAAACTGGCCAGGCATTAGGAATGGAATTTCCAGGAATTGAAATTGCCTTGCCTGACACAGAATGATTCAAGAACTGGGTGCTCTCTTTTTATCCCTAAAAGTCATTATAACATGATATAGGATGTGGTGTGATATGATAAATATATTTAATTATAACATACAATATAGCATAATAAGGTGCAGTGGCCTAGTTAAGACACTGGGCTTGTCGATTAGGTTGGCAGTTTGAGACCTAGGGTACTGCATGATGAGGTGAGCACCCGTTGCTGCCCCAGCTTCTACCAACCTAGTAACAAAATGCAAGTAGATAAATAGGTACCATTTTGGTGGGAAGGTAACAGTGTTTCATGCACTTTGGCATATAGTCATGTCAGCCACATGATCATGGAAACATCTTTGGACAATGCTTGGCTCTCTCAGCTCAGAAACGGAATCCAGCACCGCCCCCTAGAGTTGGACACAACTGGGCAGAGGAAACCTTTAATAATGTCATATCATACTTTCATATAATATCACATAAATTACATATCATTTATCAATCTTATATAATATATAAAAACCAAATCCTTTAACAAGATTCTGGCTTTTGTCTGCTGCATACATACCTACAACCCTATATATGTTTCATTAGAAATTGGTTCCATGAGCTTATAACCAAACGTAGGTAAGATTTCAGAATGGAACCCTCAATCTTCTCTTAGGCAACATTACCAAGGGTCAAATTTCAGAAGAGATTACAAGGGAAGCAAAACTAGACTCCACGTAGTTTTGATATGCCATAGCTAAAGGGAAGCACCTATGTTTTGTTTGCAGTCCCAGGACCAATTCAAGTAGGCTAGCACATATTCCTTCCTGAAATCCTGCCAAGCTGTCTTGACAATATTCTACTACATGCATCTTTCTAACATACGAAACATGCTGGCATGCCACAAATCAGGAAAAAAACTATCTCTTAGTTCCTGTCCTGGGGAATTTCACTATATTGAACAGTGGTCATAGTATCTTCTTCTTGTTGCTGGGTAAAAATAAAACTAATAATGTTGAAAAATAAGTAAAAATATTTATTTCTGAAGGCTGTAAAATATTTAAATTCAAGTAAATAAAATGTTTAAATTATATTTAAACATTTAAATATAATTTAAAAGTAAATACATATGCATTGTCCCGTGTTCAGCATTTGGATCTACAAGGATGTATTCCTTCTCACATGTACACAGCCATTTTTTGCTCCTGGGAGAGAAAAGCCCCAAATCTCTAGTTGAATACTAGCAATAGCACTTAGACTTATATACCGCTTTACAGTGCTTTACAGCCCTTTCTAAGCGGTTTACAGAGTCAGCCTATTGCCCCGACAAAGACATTTCCTTGAGTAACAGAAGGTAGGAGTATAAAGAAATACAGAGTCTTCCGGTATTTAGAAAGCCAGAATTCTACGTTAGGTTGTGCAAAGAGATAATAATAAATACAACAAGCCAAATTGTAGGAGTTGTCGGAAATGAACTCTTCAAACTCTTTTAACACTTCTCTTAATTCGCAGAAATTACTTCCCGCTTTGAAAGGATAACGGGCTCTGCCACCAAACGCATCTGGAAAGCATCACACTAACAAGTGAGACGCATGATAAAGCACGCACGTGTACAAGTCAATCAAATAAAGAGTATCAGCAACCGGGCTCTTGATTCGATCGAAGCCATTCTGCAGATTCTTCTCACTTGACGTGCAGCCACGGCGGTTTCGCGAGCTGAACAAATGAGACCGAGAAAGGGGGCGGGTTGAGGACTCCCATAGGATCATTGGATTCGTTCCTGAGCGGTGATTGGATAAAAGTAGCTGCCTATTAGAATGCCGAGATATTATTATTTTTTTGCCCTCCCCTCCCCCCACGGGAAAGGACCCTCAGTCTGTTATTAAGAAAGCTAATGAGGCGGGCGGCGGGTTATGAGGTAGAATCGTTTGTGGTCACAGGAACTCTCGAACACGAGGTTGTCGTCCTTTCGCTAATATTTTTCAGAGTTATACTTTTGGGATAGCTTTTGCTACCTTTCCCTAAAACCAGGCGGTCACGTTAACGAGGCAGTTTGTTCACCTGCATCACCTGTGTCATCTCAGCTTGGGCCCAATCTTTATAATCGGATCTGGGTTTATAATTTATAATTAGGTCTGGAGTTATAATTGCATCCAAGCATCCTTCTCCCACGGCTTCATTAAGAAGAGGTTGGACTGCCATTTGTCAGAAATGGCTTGGACTAGATGACCTATAAGGTCCCTTCCAACTCTGATTATCTGTTATCTGTTCATCTCTTCATCTGCTGATTCTTGGCTGTTCTGCTTTTCTCCCTATATTGGCTAAATGTGCACTTCAGCTCTTCAATCGTTTCCTGAGAGTGTCCTCAAAGTAGCATATATTAATGCAAACCTAACTGTATCTCTTGAGTTACTTGTCTGTATAACAAACAATATTCCTCTAGAAAATGCATTTTGGGGCACTTTCTCTTGGAGGAAAATTGGTATTTGACTTCATTGTAGAAATAATAGATTCGGAGTTAGTTGTTGCAGCTCCTGGATAGCATAATAGAGTTAGTTGGATGAAGTCTTCAGACCAACTCCCTTCTCAAGAAAGTCCTAGTCAAATCCTTATTTCTCTTTTTTAGGGCACATTAAGTTGGATTCTCAGAAATGATACCCTTTTGTTCTTTTTGTGTGAAGGTTTGTTGTACTTTAGTTGCTGTTTCCTGAGCCAGCTTGGCTTGGGTAGAGCAAGTATTGACAACCAGAATATCTGAAGATCATTAGGCTTCAGAAAGATGCCTTGGCTTATATTTGACTTAGATTTTGTCTTATTTTCTTTTCCTTTTAGACAGCAGTTCTAAAGGAGGAAAAGCAGACCAAAAAAAGATGGATTGGATGAAATTACGTTCATATTCCGGGAACAGGCATATGCAAAAGAAAACATATTGTGCTTCTCCGTTGCCTTCTAAAACAGCATCTGTTGCAATGGTCAGAATGAAGAGCAAAGCCAAAGCATCTCAGGAGCACCCAGATCTGCTTTCTAAGTTTAGCTGTGATCCTCAAGTGAAAAGTACTATTGGTAAAAAAAAAGGTGAGATCTTTATGAAAATTTAAAGTGTTTTTATTCAGACTGTATAATCTGTTTGTACTTTTTTGATCACTATAGAGTGCTTTTAGAAGATGTGAAGGCTGAAGAAGATATGATCTAGTTTGAACATTTCTCTACAATATAAAGGGAGTAGTTGAATGATATGGTTTGTTTCCATCTCATTTACTTATGTTTAATTGATTTTCAATTAATGTATAGAAGGAAAACAATACAGCTCTAAGCCTCAAGATTTTTCACAAAAATGTTTTTTTCTGTATGAAATAAATGGATTTATTGCTTATAGTTCCTGGACTGTGGTAAATTGAATCTTGCCTAATGTAGATACAAAGTCATTATTAGAGTTATTAGAATCACTTGAAATCCTCTCAAAAGATCTGAAGAGGCAACTTCAAGTTTTGAGGCAAGATATTTTTTAAATGTCGCATCTCATCCTCTGGCCTTCCCTGAGTTAAGGGTGAAGGTCTGAAGTTGAAATGTTGTGCACTCCTGATTTTATAAGGCCCTGGATTTCATAAAAATATACAGGGCAGTCATGGTTAGTTCTTTTTAAGGTCTGAAGATTCATGTGTAAGAATCAGGTGGTTTGGTGAGGCCTCATTTCATCTCTATGCTTCCGTTTCCTGAACAGTTTGTACTTTCCAAATAGTTTCCTTCTGCAATCCGAGTCAGGAGAGTGTTGGGAGTTGTTTTCTGCTTAGCTTTAAGAGAAATACTGTAAGTTCTAGTTACATCACAGCCGTATGTGTTTTATTAGGAACTTTCTTCCACAATATACTTTGTGGCTTGCTTATTGCCATGTGTACTATAACTGCAAATGGATTATTCTTTGAATTGCGATCTAGGTTTGAATTGGAAGACAAACAACACACACACACCCCAACTAGTCCTAGACAACTTTTGGAATAAGAGCACAATAGGATGGAATGTGACAAAAGTGTGTTTATCTAGGATTCAAACGTTTAAAGAGCCTTGGTTTTTTTTTTTAAAAAAAAAATGGGTTCATATTGGTAAAACTGAGATTACAATTTTCATTTTGTGTAGGCTGATAGTTTTTGGATGAAGAAAAGCACTGTGTGCTAGACAGTTTGAGGGAAGATAGTTTCAGGGGAAGGGGAGGTCTACCTGGATTTTCTTAGGCCTGAAATGGGTGTAATATATACTGCATTTGGTTAACAGCCTGCACGTCCTTATTTTTTCTTGAATACAGGTAATCCTCAACTTACGACCACAATTGAATCCAAAATGTTTGTTACTGAGACAGTTAAGTGAATTTTGCCCCATTTTATGACCTTTCTTGCCACAGTGGTGAAGTGAATCACTGCAGTTCTTAATTTAGTAACACGGTTGTTAAGTGAATCTGATTTTTTTATTGATTTAGAAAATTTATATTATCGCTTACTCACACATGATGACGCAAGGTGTTTTGTAAGGACATAAAAGCACAATATAAAAGAAATAAAGAAAAATAATAAGAAAACAAATAAAATAACCCCCCACCCCCTCACCCTGGCAACAACACACATTCATACTGGCCATTTAAGGGGTTCCATCCTGCTCTGGGTTCCCCAGACCTGCTGGCAGAATGACGTTTTCAGGGCCTTCTGAAAGAGTGCTAGAATGGGGGCCAGTCCAATCTCCAGAGCCCAGGGCACGGCAACTGTCATAAATGTGAGTCGGTTGCTAAATATCTGGATTTTGATCACGTGACTATGGGGATGCTGCAATAGTCGTAAGTGTGAAAAATGGACAAGTAACTTTTTTTCAATGCCACTGTAACTTTGAACAGTCACCAAATAAACTGTTGTAAGTCAAGGACTACACACATTTCTAAGAAGCTTTATGGAAAATATTCTGATTCTGAATTCCAGAAGCACCTCAGGAATAAGAAACTGCCTTCTGATTCAGTTTTAGTTACATGGGTAGGTTGTTTATTCTATTAGACTTACATGCTACTCTAGTCATAACTAATTCTGAGCATTGTACATACCGATACTTTATAACTAATGTAATACAGAGAGTCCTCAACTTACAACCTTTGGTTTAGTGACCGTTCAAAGTTACAACAGCACTGAAGAAAATGATTTATGACCATTTTTCACACCGCCATTGCAACATCCCCATGGTCACATGACCAGTATTCGGATGCTTGTCAACCGGTTCATATATTTATGATGGTTGCAGTGTCCCAGGGTCTCGTGGTCACCTTTTGCCGCCTTCTGACAAGCAATATCAATAGGGAAGCTAGATTCATTTAACAACTGTATTACTCAGTTAAGAACCGCAGCGATTTACTTAACAACTGTGGCAAGAAAAAAGGGACAAAACTCGCAACAACTTAGCCATAGAAATTTTGGGCTCAATTGTGACTGTAAGTGAAGGACTACCTGTAAAATACTCCACTGATCAGCCAGTACAAACATTTCCCTTGCAAAGGGGCTCAAAGCTAGCTGGAAAAAAAAATCCAGTTCTTTGTTGCTTTTTGAAAACTTAAAGCTGAAGCTGATTTGATGTCTAAGGTATATGTTGTTCCAGAAAAAAGGAATGGTGTCTAAAAAGCCCTTCAGAAAAAAGCCTTTATACCATGGGTGTCTTTATACTTTTAGCTTGCCTGGGCTTCACTGAATGAAGACAAGTGGTCTTGGGCCACATATAGAATATACTAAATGTACATAAACAAACTTTCTTTTAATATTTTTATTCTCTCTTAAGGGGCCACATTACTAATATATGGCCCATGGGACATGGGTCAGATACACATGCTTGTACAGTAATGGCATGGGTCCGGTGTGATCTTTTTTGAAAGTTTAATGGATGAATAGATACAACCAGGAGTAGGGCTTATGAGCTTATAAAGGTAACGACAAACCCCTTGAAATGCTCCCAAATGCAAACTAGTAACCAGTGCAGCTCTCAAAGCAGTGATGCTGTGTGTATGTGAGTAAATTTTGTGGGTCTCATAATTGCCCAAGCCACTCTGTTTGTTTGTTTGTTTGTTTGTTTGTTTTTGTCAATTGCTTACAAGATAATAGGTATAAGTAAAAACATAATTATGAATACATGGATACATATACATATACTCTATTCTGGACTGGTCAAATTTTTCAAATGGTTTTCAGTGTCATCCCCATGGATGGCATATTGCAATAGTCCAAATGAAAGGTGATTCAATGAATGTAAGCAGATCCTTCCAGTTCAGGGAAGATTGTAACTAATGCATCAGAAGAAGCTGTGTGAAGGCTTCTGGAGTCAGTGCCATGTGCTGTTTCAGAACAGCTGTGACTCCAGGAGGAATATACACAAACACCAGGACCAGATAACAGTTCTACAGTTCTGGGGAAGTGTGATCACATCCAGAAGGTGCAAAGTGTGATCACATCCAGAAG